AAGCCGAATTGCATCATTTTGATAAGCCTCGAGAACTATTGAAGACTTTGGCACTTTGGGTGCGAGCTTTTTGGGTTGGAAAGAACGGGGGTGTTGGGTAGATTGTGCTGCATTGTTCTAATTAGTTTTGCGATGTGAAGATGTTGCATATATGTGGGGAGTATAAAACTCCATATTATGAGAGGAAAACTTGGGATGCGAGAATAATTACCCTCTATGTGGAGATCGCGAAGTGGATGGGAAGCTTTCAGCGGCTTGCACATGCGTGTCGAATCACGTAATTGTAGTGCAAGGCATAATTCTATGTTTCTAGTCATGTTCCTAATAGAAAATTACATTTCTGCTTTGGACCATTTTGTATATTTCCCATACAGTTCGGTAGGGGGTGGTGAGGGGTGGGGTGAGAGGTAACAGATCCTAAAGGCAGCCATTGCAGGTTTATGCAGCAAAAAGAGCAAAAGTAGCTAAATGGCGTCTAATTGTAGCCTTGTTGCGTTCCATAAAACAGGAAATAATGGTGCCATCTGAATTATCTTCTTCTGTTGTTTCCTTGGGAGACCGTTTGCAGCTGTTACCGCGCTAGAGAACTAGTAAAGATGGCCGGTGTGGGGTTATTTTGGCGAATTTAACCCAATCGATTCCTATATGCGCTATATCAGTGCGTTTGTATGTTTGTGCTTCCTCAGGGAACAACAATTTAACATAAACGCGGCTGCTGAATTTTGCGTGTAAGACCCACACAAGTATAAAGGTAAGGCTAGCCACCTTGAAAACCCGTCATAGAATGCAGAAAATTGTGGGATGTCGCAAGAAAAACAGTCGCCAGCCAACAAACTTTGAGTAAGACGAGGACCTTAGTATTATGAAAGATAGTTCTTGGACAAGTCATCGGAAATTCCGCAGAACGTTTGGAAAAGATCCGCCAAGTCACCTGCGGAGTCCGTAAATGTGCTGCGGAAGTTCTCAGAGCGGATCACAACAGCAAAAGAGAACACCTAAGCGAGATTCGAACCTTGCTCTATTGAATGCAAGGTTTACTAACCTCTCCATTACGAATTACTCGTCCGATAATGCACTCTAGCTGTCGGCAAGACAACATCATAAGGGACAATACATCCACTGCGGTACTGGCAGGTCAAAGTGCGGAACCGCTGGCATTTTTTGGATTTTTTGCAATTTTGTTACAAGTTCTGCGGAAGTACCCATTTCTAACGTTGATATCTCTTGTAACAGTGATTGAACCGTGCAGAACAGCTGCAAATTTTTCTTGTCCTTCGGAATTTCCTGTTATTTTGGAGGTATATTTTTATATTAAATTATTGTAGAAAAATTTTCGTCTGAATTGCTCGATGCTCATATGCTGCATGTGACTGAAGACGACAAAGTCAAAGTGGTACAAACAATGCATTACGAGAACGTATTGCAGAATATTCGTGCTCACTATAAACTGGCTCACTATAGCAAACGCAATGAGAAAAATCTTCTTCGAATGACTGTCACTATCGCTCTTATAACATCAAATACAATCCTCATGTTCACGATTCCTGACATGATTCTTCTGAAATATCCAGATTATAACTCTAATATACTCTACATAATGAATCTAAACAAGGTAGGCGTTACAGTGTTTCGAGTGCATTTTATCGAGATACTGCACTTTGTGTAACGAGTAACGCTATCCCCTCGCTATTAGAAGCCATTCATCGATGCACATATCATGCTGCTAGAATAGTGATTCTGACATTCAGGGGGTGATCAACATCATCATCTTCGTTGTCACTCAAAGGTCGTTCCGACAAGTCATTCTGGGCCGATCAGCCACAAGCATGAACGTCGTAAGTGCTCAAGTACTAGAATAAAGAAAATCCCCTCAATTCAGATTCCTTCATAGCTGACAAAGCTTACATTGAATATTTGCTATTATTTATAGACTTCAATCAGAATCGTTGGGAAACAACGACACTCGTTCGAGGTCGTCAATGGTAGCAGTGGAAAGTCTACTAAAGTTACTGCTGTAAAAGTTGGCTTGTGATAGATGGATTCCTTAATTTCGATATTAACACTGCCACTGCATCCTTAGATCTGTTTCACGCAAACATGTAAGATTCACTATGAGTGTTATTTCTG